TCTTGACCGCACATCACATTGAATGCTAAGTCTTCATTTGGGCAACACGACGCACAGTGCAAATATCTTTGTCCAGATAGTGTACAGTGTGCACTGTGACCTTTTCGTTACAGTACCTAGAAATCTGTCTTAATCTGGTTTAAAGTTGTGGATAAGGATATACAATGCTCACCTTCCTGTAAACCAGGCCCATAACAGCTGTCTTGACCCTCATTCCCACTGTGAAGCAAGTGTACATGTACTGATGGTTGAAGAGGGACTGAAGGCATGAGAGCAGGAACATGAGAGTGGCGTAGAAGTAGCCCTTCCACAATGGCGCTTCCTCATCTCTCATAAAGCCCAGGAGAAGACTGAAAACAGAGAGAAAAGTACAACGGGATGGCTCTAAAGCAGAATTTGCACATTTGCACGCACATCTTACAAAAATCAAAAAGGAAGGAATACGGTTTCACTATCAACATGATTCTGATTCAGACCTTCATGTGACTAGTGATTGTCACACAAATTCACTTCAATTCAATTAAAACAAAGCGGCTTTGTTTGCGCAACATTGCTCAGCCTGCAGCCAGCCTGCCCTCACACCATGCCAGCAACTGTCTTATTGTGGTCTGTCTGTGTCTGTGCCACTCCGAGACCTATGCTGTGTAAGTTACTGAGGCAAAAGGGCTGTGGTTTCGTCTACTTCTTGCTTACAAATCCATGACCCTAATTAACACTTCAAATAATTCCGTCTTTGTGCCTCAAAAACAACATTCCAGTCCCACCACTGGAACAGTACGGTCAGAGGGGGCCTTGACTTGTTTTCATTGTTGCCAGATTGCGGAGTTTTGTTTAGTTGTCTTTGACACAAATAGCTATAAAACACAACGATGACATTGGTATCCGGGATAAAATACAGCAATTATTTATATCCGAGTTTAAATTTGAACGTGATATTTTTTGCTCGCTGTATTTTTTAAATTATCATAACAAGGACATCTCTTTCTATCCAATTGAATCCCATCCAGGTAGGTTCAATCCAACTTGCGGTTTGGAGATTTTAGCAGCTGCTTTACGCAGCACAGTGAACTCGGTGTCACTGGGTTTGTGGGACGCAGGCACTGGAAATGTGTCTCAACAGCACTAAGTCAACAGTTTCTATTGCTAAATATAATGACTTACATAATTGCAACATTCCGCAAACCTTATTTTTGTTTTTTAACAAAGACGTGCTCCTCTATGTTGGACAGTGAGTTAACAACATCTCCACAACAGATTATTATTATTTTTTGTAATCCTGGAGGCCCCAATGTCAAAGAGCATTAACTTTGTTAAGATACACTGACATATGGACAAAAGTAATTGGACACACCTCTGAATCAAAATTACTTAAATAATCAATCTCTGTTGCTACTTTTGTGAGAACATCCCGGTGCACAACGAAAGGTCCATAAAGGTATGCTTGGATGCGTTTGTCGTGAAAGAATGTTCAAGTTCTAACCTCATCCTCATCAAACACCTTTGAAATAGGAGAGATTGTAAAACAGGCCACCCCTTGTAAATGTTACGAGATGAATTGATGGACAGAAAAATGCCACGGACAAACTATAAAACCATGTGCAAATTCAGTGTTCCCGCATGTGTATATCCAGGTGTCCAAATCCTGTACTTTGATCCATATAGTCTATTCCAAAGTTCTCATGTAAGAGAAACTGCTGTGCTTTGTCTTACCTCAACACCTGGGGAATAGCGAACATGAAGGCATCATGCAATATGATACACATGGTTCCAGTAAGGAAGTATGGACCAAATTTGCGTGCCAGAGTTCTTAGCAGAAAGAAGCCAGAGCTCTGTTCTTTGTGAAGCTTCCTGAGGAGCTGAGCTTGGTCCGGCAACCTGCTCCCCAGTGCCACACCTGATGTCAAGGCCTTTTCCTGCCTGTCATAGAGATGAAAAACATAGTTACACACATAACCTCTGTTGCTGGGGCCCAGTATTAATATCTGTTATAGAGCAAATTGGCTCCATCTTTATTTATTGGACAGGATGAATGTAATCTTAGCACAGCCATACTTTGCTGGACCACTAATTCCAAATGGGTCAAGTTAACAGTTGTCTCTTTTAAAAATTAGAAAGATTCCTTTATTTAAGAAATTGCTCTTCAAGTTACAGTGTGTAAAATGCACCTGCCATCAAGTGATGAATTACCAGAATGAAAGTTCAAAGTGCATGCATTTTGAAGCGCCTCAGAGAGACCACACTTTGCAAGCTTACTACCATTTTCTTCAGCACACGTGAAAGCAAAATGTCATGGCAAACGACTTCTAGTGTTCTCTTAAGTGACAAAGTAAGTGCATTGGATTTGCTACACATGCTGTAGTCATTGACCCAGCAAATTTGTGATCGGGAGATTTATTTTCTCACTTGCTTATTAAAAATTTATTGTGATATTACAAGGAACTACTGCTTACACTAATGCCAGGGGCTAATTACGTCCACCAAACCAAGCTACAGAGAACACATGCTGAGTCGTATTAGTGTTTTATAACACATTTGGACTTTCAGGTGTATCGCGACAAATGCCTTTCCCTTTTGGAGATGAGGAGAGGGTAGAAGCGCAAAAGGCTCACTGAATAGAAATCTCAGAAAACTTGGCTGCACGCAATAAGGAAAACGGCTTTGAAAATGCATTGAGGAACTACGCTCGCTAAGTATGTCTCCTTTGGGTATACGTAGCAGACCGATGGCAGTGAAACAATTAGAAGTGCGTTTTACACAATGACGGAAAATTGACAAAACAAGAATTGCTACACTGTCCCTTTCAAATTGATGAGCATTGTCTGTCGCTTTTGCCTGCAAACTGGATTTATCTAATCATTGGCATAATGCGGGGGTCGGCAACACGCGGCTCCAGAGGCGCATGCGGCTCTTTAGCGACATCTAGTGGCTCCCTGGAACTTTATAAAAATGTTTGAAAATGGAAAAAGATTTTGATAGTAGGCTAATATAGCTCAAATAGATATAGATACATGTTACAGCTCCGAAAAAGGAGAGCTGTGGTGTCGGTTTTTTTAAACCTACACTTTATTTATGCTTTTAACAGTCTCCACAAACACACACACACACACACACACACACACACACACACACACACACACACACACACACACACGTGAGTCTGACTCCTGCCTTCTCTCCTTGTTCACTCGAGAGGCGTTCAAAGACAGCCTCAGAAAAACGGAAATTAATGATCACTTCACTGACACTAAGAAAAGCGAAAAAAATACACCAAAACAAAAAAATCAAGCGAGGAAATTACAAAATAAATTCTATGGGGGCGTTTGTGAACACACAACGAAGGAATGAATAACAAAC